TCTTTTTTGCATGCCGGTTTGTTGACTCGAGGTTTTGGGGGGATATCAACAAACAGTGCGTAACCCCTTGTCTCCTCATCGCCTTCCACCCTCAAGAAAGAACCATTACCAGCAAATTGTTTGCGAACCAAACCCGCGCTGGCAGGGGGGGGGGTCGAGCTGGAATCCGGATCTGCCAGCTATGTCAGGATTTAGCGCTGTGGAAGATGAAATCTAAGATTAGGAATTGTGGGTGTGAAAATTTTTTACTAGCTCGGCGACGTCTTGTAGCAGTTTAGAATTGAAAATTTCGGTTGAAAAAGACTTTTAAACCGTGCAAGAGCCTCTACTAGCCTATCGGCGTTTTGTAGCAGTTCAGAATTCGGCCCGCCTTGCCTAAACCTTCTCTTAAGAAGCATCTTCTCTTAAGTCTATACTGTATTAGCCTATCGACGTCTTGTAGCCGTCCGGAAAAAAGAAATCTAGCTGCTGAAATTTGATTTTCGTCTTAGAGCGTTAAAGAGTTTTAAAGCTTGTAAGATATAGTCAAAAACTCAATGATTAAAAAAATCGAACTTTGCTGTGGGTTTGGAACGAATCAGGAACTTACCATTGATATACTGATTCTTTTCAGGAAAGACCTCGGGATCTGGCTTCTCCGCGAATGCCTGCCCGGCTACGAGTTCGTCGCCTCGGCGCGCCGCTGCAAGACCGTTCGCTCGGTCCGTCGCCAGCAGCAGCTCTGCGATGGCCCCAACGCCACTTCATTCCAGTTCTGCCCCACCTCCCGTCTTTCTTCGGTGGGCTAAACGGGCTTTTAAAGGTTACGGTAGCCGGCTCGGTTTATACACGAAAATCTCAACATTTTAATTTTTCAAATATTTTCAGGCTTAGTAAAGCCTCGTGAAAGTCTTTAAAGGGACAGGGAAGGCATCGCTATGGATTATCGCAGGCTTATTTATCGCGCACCAAATTTTCCTGGAATTTCAAACTATCGATATCGATGGCTTGCGTGTTCCTTTAAAAACGTAGCAATCTAGCGGGGTCGTGATTACAAAAATGCCGATTTTTCGGCGTTTTGGAGCTTTCGCTGCCAGCGCCAAATCCCGCCTTCCACGCCCCTTTAAAAACATCCACTTGTTGCAGTTCATGGTCGACGAGATCCGCGAGGCTCCCCGCCAGTGCGCCTGCCCCAACGGCGAGCTGAACTGCGTGTGTCCATCCCCCGAAATCCTCGAGCCCGTCAATCTGCCCGTCAACTCGCCAAAGACGCGCCGCAGCCCGCAGATGACCACCACCGCTGTCCGTTTTTTTCATTAGCTTTCGAGTCCATATCGCTGAGTTTTAAAGGCCCTGGTTTTTTCAGAAGATCACCTTCTCGCAGTACCAGAACTGCCCGTGCCCCCAGCAGCAGCCCCAGTGCAAGTGCGTCACCCAGCAGAACAACCAGGTCAGCAAGGAGGATTATTGATCCCTCGCTCACTATCTATTTCTTTCTCTTCTTGTCCCTCCCTTTCTCTCTCCTTTTCCGTCTCTCTCTCTCTCTCTCTCTCTGTCTTTCTGTTTCTATCTTTCTACCCTCTCGTTTCTAGCCAGTCGTCGCCTCGACCCAGTGCTGCCCCCAGCAATCCGCCACCACCATGTCCCAACAGTGCATGTGCCAGCAGGAGACCCAGCAGCTGGTAAGTCCGAGACGCTACGAGCCTACACCCCGTACAAAGCATCCGTGTGCGCTCCAGGTTTTGCTGTGGCATTTTCGAGCTAATTTTTATTCCTTTGCTTAGTCAGAAGTCGTCTTTTGGAGAGAGAGAGAGAGAGAGCGCGGGCGCTGAACTTGAACTGCACGCGACACTGCGCGCAGGAATTTCGACTTCTCAGTCCCTTTAAAGCAACTGAACTGCTTGCCCAGCCCGTTCCCCCAAATACGCGACTTTAGAATTCCCTTAACAGAGCGATACCCCGATTTCAGAACCCATCTTCGCTGCCGTGGTTCCCCTCACCAGTGTGTCACCACTGTCTTGACTGTCTAACCCTACCGTACCGCCAATACGGAGTGTGGAGTGTGGTGTTATTTGGAGCCCTGCGTAGCCCCGATTTTTCTAGAACTGCCAGACCACCACCACCCAGCAGCAGTATTGCCCGCAACAGCAGGAAGTCGTCCAGCAGCCACAGTCGTGCCCGCTTGGTGAGTACGAGAGAGTACGGGAAAGTACGTGACTATACGAGAGAGTGCGCTAGAGTACGGATTACGACCGAGCTTTGCCGGGTCACCGCCGAATGCTATAGAGTACGCTCGAATACGGCCGAGTACGTTAGTACGTTAGAGTACGATCCAGTACGGTAGATGATAGTACGACGTAGCACCCGTGAGTACGACCTAGTACGGTTTGGTACGCTAGAACAAGGCGAGTACGATTGCGTAGCCTAACGTACGGAGCAGTACTCTGATCCCGGCCTGTATGATATATTACGGCTGAGTACGGCCGAATACTCAATACGCGGTAGTACGGTAGGGTACGATCGAATACGGTCAATTATGACTCCGTACGTCTAAATTACGTTTGAGTACGATTGATTACGGTTAGATACGGCTCCATACGCCTAAGTACAGTTGATTCCGCTCCACTACCCCCAATTACGGCCAAGAATCAAGGCGTAATTTAGTGCAAGGCGGAGTGCAGAACGCCGCCTACCAGGGCATCTGCTCGTGGATGGTCGACCCTCTTGCCAAGGATCCAGAGAGCTGCACCCACTTCCTCCAGTGCCAGCCAGCCCCCAACAATCTGTACTGCGGACGGTAGGGTTACGGTAGAAAATTCCACCTGTCACCGTCCCTTTAGCTGGCAGCGAATGCCCTGTGCCCCAGCCACCATCTTCGACGAGCAGGCCCAGGTCTGCGTCTGGGATACTAGTAAGTTATTTTAAAGTTGAGTCGGGAATTTTTGGCTTAGACTCTTCAGCGTAAGCCTAAGCCAAGCCCAAGCTATAGTCAAGCAAAACGAAGCCTAACAAACCAAAACCCACGCCTAAGCCTAAGCATAAGCCGAAGCCTAAGCCCTAGCAAAGCTCAAGCCAACCAGGCTAAATCCAAGCGAAACGAAGCCCAAGCCTGAGTCTATGCATAAGCCTAAGCCAAGCAAAGCCAAGTCAAGAGAAGCTAAGCCTAAGCCTCAGATTAAGCCTAAACTCTCGATTCTCAAGCAATTCCCCTTTTTCGCTTCCTAGCTGTTGTGCCCTTTAAGTTTTGCTAAAAATCTACAAAACAAACCCTGTCCAAATTTCTCACGAAAAAGCAAAAACGTTCCCCTCGCCAGGATTCGAACCCGGACCCTCAGCCCCAAGACCGAACGCACAACCATTTGGCCAAATGCCAGATATTAATAACATGGATTTAATTCGGGTTTACGCTAAATTTTTCAGGCTCTCAGCCCGCTTCCCTGCCGACCCCGGCCCCGTACGTGCCCACCCAGGCGCAGCAGAACTCGCAGTGCGGATGCACGGGAGGAGTTCAGATCGGCAGCTGCAACCAGAACTACCAGTGCCCCGGCCAGTCTGTCTGCCAGGTTGGACAGCAGAATGGAAATCAGGTGAGATAGTTTTTACCTTATTCGTCTATAGCTCTCTCTCTCGCCTATTTTCTTCTAGCTCTTCTCTCTCTCTCGCTCTGTCCAAATACCTGAAGCTGTTGTGTGCGAAAAACAGTAAATGTGTAGTGGCCCATTGTGGCGTCTAGTTACACGAGTACATGTTTTCCCCCAGGACCCCAAAATATTGGCCCAACGCCCGGTTTTCCAGGGGGGCTCCTAGGTACACATTGTCTAGCGGCAGAGCCTTTCACTAGCAGATGCCCTTAAAAGGGGCTATGTGAAATTTTGAGGGCAAAAAGTCGACGGAGAGAGAGAGAGAGAGAGTAGAGAGAGAGAGAGCGAGAGAGACCCAGTGAGAGAGATAGAGCCAGAATGAGCAAGAGAAAGTGAGCCAGCGACATAAGTGCCATTAATGTCCCCATCCCTCTCAAAACATTAATGACAAAAATTGCGCATGACCCGCCAATTGCCATCCCCGGCTCTTGTCTCTTGACGTGTAGATGACGTGCCAACAATCCCGTCTTGTCCCCCCTTGTCCCAAGGGCCCCCTCTCGACTACGCGATCATCCAATCGACACCCCCCCTCCCCTGTCGTGTCCATGGTGTCCGATCCGATATCTTGAGTGCGGCCTCCCCCGTCTTGTCCCCTTTTGTTCATCTCCATCCCCGTCCTCATCCAAATTCAATCCCAGCCTCCCTTTTCAGTGCATGGTCTGCTGCTACTTCCGCAAGAAGGCCAAGCGCGCCTAAGCGTCTCCCGTTTCCACGTCGGCTCGTCACGCGGGTCCCCCGGCAGGTTGGGTATTTCGTGGTTAAAGGGACCGGGAAGGCAGGGCTATGGATTATGCCGCGTCGCGACACGTGACGCGCACTTCCTTTGGCGTCGCGTACCCAAATGGGCGCGATTGCCTCTCATTAATGCATCCGCATTTCAGAGCCAACCCCCCGTCCCCCCTATCTATTGGAAAGTGCCCGACTTTCCCGACACCCGAGCGGAGGAGCCAAAAAACCCCTCCACTACACACGTTGTCTGTAAATACAAGTGTCCCCCGCCTAATAAATATGTTCATTAATGCGTGAAAATACGGGGATTATGCACAAAATTCGGGCGTACAGATTACGTAGGAGTAGCTGGGCGGAAAAAGAAGACAAGGCAGCGCCAAAGTAGAAGCCTAGCGGCCGCTAATTTCAATCGATTACGACAGGAAATAGGACGATCCCAAAATTTTAATTCTAGGCTGCAAATTCCAGCGAAAATGCATAGAATTCGAGCATACAGAATACATCGATGTAGCGGGAGGTAAACATACCCTCGAATTTTGACGGATTTCGGCCTCAAAATTCTGTGCTAAAATGGAGAGAGCATGATCAGAAAAAGCCCATTTCCTCTAAGTATATTTAATCCTGATATTGTAACTATCCAAGCACGATTTATGCCCTCGGATAATAGATCTCGCATATAGCACCCAACGGCCGGCCACACTCCACGGCATACCACTTGCCGGACGGAACGTCGATAGTTGCGCACTGTACTCCCGGGGTGGGCTCGCCTGGAATGCTGATTTATTCAAGGGGAAGGGCTAGTAAATCCCTCAAACCGGAAAAGATTCTAAATATGGTTTATCCAATGCCGTTAAGGGATTAGAAGCGAGAGAACCTCGAAAAAATTTTTCCAACTCACCCGGCGCCCAGTTCAAATAGTCAACCGTCGTCCCGTCCCAGTTTTCCCAGAATTGAATATGGCCGACTTGTTCGTAGTACAGTGCTGTGTAGAGGAGCCCCGGGGAGGGGGATACTGTAAGGTGGAAATATTGGAAGCTAAGGAAAGGATCGAGGTATTCTCTAGCCACTTTAAATGTTATCCGGGAGACGGACTTCTGCTATCACTGCCCCTTTAAAGGACCGGCAAGGCACGGCTATCGATTTTTCGTTAGAATCTTACGCTAAACCTTAAAAACTTTATAAAAAATTGTATTAAAATCACTAATCAAAAGTTTGGGCCGTTTTAAAACGTAAAAATTGTAAAAAATTTATAAAATTCACGAAAAAGCCTACCCTCACTGGCATATTGCACGAGGGCGTTATTTTGGTAGAGGCTGTGGATGGAGATGAGGTACCCCTTCAACCCCGCGCACATATCCCATTGCTGCGAGCGGTTGGCCGCTAAAAAAGTGGTTTTTTCGAGCCTCGAAAATTCACCAATGCCTCCAGACTACCGTAGTTTACAACTGAAATTTTTATCTGAGAAGTAACAAAATATTTTTAGTTTTGGAATCTTTCTGGAATTTTCTATTATTTAAGGCACCATTTAAGAAACCACAAAAATTTCAAAATCTCAGTAAATATTATTGTTACCCCGTCCGGAAAGTGCAGCGTCAAAACCCACGCGCCAACTCGATATGCACGCATTCACGGAGCTCGGTGGCGTTGAAGGTGTTTGGTGGGCATTGAGCTGATGAGGGGATTGTGAGCAATGCCAGAAACGGAAGAAGGAAAATTAAGGACCAGCGCAACATCTGTGGATCAAAATTTTAGCGCGAATTCGCGAACTTTGGGTGTGGGAGAAGCCGTGGGTTGGCGTGACATCATCTGATAAGCTATCAACGGGTGGTTCCTGGTTTTTTTCCGTGACTTAATCCAGTTTTTTTGGGGTTTTCCAAACCAACTTTTCCGGGAAACGGATAATTTTAAGGGACGTGGAGAGCAAGCAGAGAACGAGAAAGAGAGCAAGATAGAAAGAGAGACGGAAAGAAACGAGAAACGAAATTGAGTGGTACGGCTTGAACGGCTTGAACTCGCCGCTGAAAACGGCTGTCCTCATTTTTATGCATGTGCTCGTGCTCATCAAGCGAGACTCACAGAACTAAGGAAAAGATCTATCTGTCTCTCTCCCTCTATCACTGTTCTCTGTCTCTCTCTCTCGCTCTCTCTCTCTCGCTCTCTCTCTCTCTCTCTCGCTGCCCGTCTGACATCCGACTTTATAATCAGGCAAGTTTCCTCGAAATCCAGCAACTGCTTTCACGCCTCAAAAAACCAACCATCTAACCGCAGTGGCCAAAAAGTGAAACCCGGAAACCGGTCCCCCTGGTACTCGTGTGCTCACTGGCTCCTACTGCTGAATGCCAAAGCCATATGATGGTAGTCTTATTGGGGGAAAGCGAGGGAAATGTGTAAACTGGAGAGAGAGTGAGCGAGAGAGCGAGAGAGAGAGGTGGAGAAATGGACTGTCGACCTGCCCGGAAAAGGCCTGATCCCCTTCCCATCTCTCCCTTTCGCCCGGCCAACCCATCCTGAAAATATCGACAAAACAAATGCGACCCGTGCCCGGACCGGGATCTGCGTATTGATTTGCATTTTTCGTTTTGGGAAAGAATACTATGGTTTTTATTTTTATTTTTTTTGTAGGAGGTTAGAGCTGCAAGAGAGAGAGAGGTAAAGCGAGAGAGAGGAAGAGCGAGGGAGAGCGAGGTGGGAACAGAGGGGAGAGAGACGAGCTTCTAAGCTAGTTCTAGCTTCATGGTTTTCCCAAATAAGTTTTTTTTTGCTTGATTGACATCTTTTCATCTGTTTTTATTATTTCCGTTAATTTTATGATTGTCAATTGATGAAAAAAACTCCAATTTCAGCACCTCCATCATCTTTTTTGGCTGTTTTTGTTTTTAGGCCTTTTTTCACGCTTTTCCAATGATTTTACGGTCAATATTGCACTTATTTGAGGGGGGCCCAGAAACAATAGGAGGTCAGCTGTTGGACTGTAGATAAGGCGGCGGTTTCGGGATGAAATTTGTTGTCTCAGACGACAGCGTTGGGTTGGCCAAATTCATTTCAGGTTCCGAACGGCGAGGATTGTGGTTTTATCCTGATCATGATGTCAAATTTTTTAAGGAGCATCGCTTTCTCTCTCTCTCTCTCTCTCTCGCACGCTCCCTCTGACTCGCTTTTTCTCGCTCTCTCGTCTTCGAAAGCGCTCTTTCGCCTTTCTGTCCTTCTCTCTCTCTCTCTCTCTCTCTCTCTCTCTCGTCGATGGCTCGTGCTCTCGCTCGCTGTTTATTGCTCTCTCTCTCATCCCTCTACTTCCAGAGCTTCTAGCGGGCAGCTGATGACCGTCCGACACCGGGATGCTGCCCCGCGACGACAATGGCACGCTATGTACGTTTTCTTTCAATCGAATAAATTTATCAATTTACATAAAGCAAATTTTTATGTTTAAAATAAAAACAATTCATTTTGCGTAATTTTCAGATGAACTGCTCGACGCCGCCGCCCAGCAAAACTACACGACTGATGGGGGTGAGAGAGCGTTGAAAGATACTGGAATTGTAGAACATCTTAGCTGAGGGCGTCCCCTTAAAATCAAGCGTTAGTAATAGGATGCGATTTCCGCAACAATCCATCTGCTTTTTGGTAACGATAGTTCTGGGGGGATAGGTTGTGCAGGCGGGAACGCAGTTATTATCAATTTCCGTTTCTCTCTCTCTCTCTCTCTCTCTCTCTCTCTCTCTCTCTCTCTCTCTGACCTTGCACCCGACCCCATACGCCCTCGGGAAAAGCGTTCCTTCCGGAAAAGTCGGGTTTCCGGCGCGCCCTCCGGCTCAAATGATCTGAGATCCAGATTTCGCTCTGTCTACCCCATAAACCGTATAGGATCGACCGTAATATTAACACCATAATACCATACCTTGAAAATGTTCGGCCAGGACCCACAGTACCCAATCCTGGACCCCGAACAGCAGCGGAGATGTGAGTTTTTTTAGTGGAAAAGCTGCAAAAGACGCTCTTTTCTCTTCGCCGCTCTCTTCTCTCTCTCTCCCTCGCTGTCTTTCTCGCTCTCTCTCATCAGAAATTACGGGAGAAAAACTATCAAAACTAGCCATGAAACAACTTCCCGGTCCCTTGAAAGCGCTAAAAATATACCAAAATCTTTTCCAGTCGTCGAATTCACGATGGGGCGCCTTCTCGAGGTGCTGGTGGTAACCCTGGTGCCGACGTTCGGCATTTTAATCCTCTGCGGCAGTCTCGCATGTTATATCATCAAAAGGATGGACTCCGGACGACCGGGAGGCGGTACGACGCCATACGAATTTACACTAATCGTCCTTAGGTGTCGAGTGTCCACCGCCAAGCCCTCCGACTCCACCTCCCGGCTATGCCATCGCCTGCTCATCGGCCCATGTGCCGCCCCCACTCTACGACGATCTCTACAAGGTCTACACGCCCATTGTACATAGGTGTGTTACGTAGCGTAATAGCGCGTGAAATCGTGGAGACTGAGAAATCTATAGAAGAAAGTCTTCGCGTCCATTGTACGTAGGAGAGTGAGGTATCGTAACGTTGCGCAGCCTAGCATAGGTGTAGTTGGGATATAATTGTAGCACATAGCAGCATTGCATAGCGTAGCGCTACGTAGCATTGCGTAGCGTTACGTAGCGTTGCGCAGCCTGGTATATCTTTTGTTAGCTAAACAATCGTAGCGATAGTAGCAGTACGTAGCGTAATCTAGCGTGGTGAAGGGGAGCCTACGTGCTTCGTTTTTGGACTTGCGAAGTGGAATACGTTACGTCCGGCCGCACTACGGGACGTAAAGTGGCAATGCGTAGCCTAGCGTAGTGTTTCGCTGGGTGGCAGTGCAATGTAAATTTTTGTATTTCTTGGAGTGTTGTGTAGCTTTTTTCAAAAATTGCGTAATTTAACGTAGCATAACGTTAAAGGGATGCCGACGGCATAGACAATCGGTTACGCGCGGAAAAGAAAATGTCCCTGCGCCTCTCCCCTGGGCGCGCTCTCTCCCCTGTTGGCTACTTGCCAATTTGTTGATGAGGGGGGATCGACACATGCCGTCGGCAGCCCTTTAAGGTGATCCGTAGTGCTGCGTAGTACTGCCAGACGTGGCGTAAGGTAGCTTAACGTAGCGTAGCGTAGTCAAGCCCTTCCGCCGCGTTGTGTTGTCTTTTTTGCGGTGCATAGTGTACAGTTTCGTATCGTAGCGTAGTCCAACATAGCTTAGCGGAGATTTCTTTATCGCTGTGTAGCCACAAATTGACTGAATATCGAATAATAACCCCTAAATCTAATTTTTTACAGTAATCCCGCAACCCGAGACACGCTGCCCGTGACGCCAAAGCCCGAATGATTGATTTTCCTGAATAATTCTACCATTATAGCCTTTTTAAGCGAATTTCCGAGCGATTACCATCGACACTCCGTATTCTGTGCGACTTTGGCCAAGCCTTTGAAATGCCATATTTTCAAAAATATATAGCTTTGCGCCCCCTGTGTCGACGTTCATTTTTGCTCACCGCCCTCACCGGTCCATATCCTTCTTTCGTGATTTTATACTGATTTTTTTGCTTCATTTTTGCATGTAATCTTTCACGCTCGACTCGTTGCCACGGCTTTATTCGAATGAACTACACGGTGTTGACCACGGGGAACAACACGAAAAAACGCCAAAAAAGGGATATGGGGCTGTTCAAGGGGAAATATGCGTTGTATTGGGCGCCGCCGGCTGGACGCAAGAGCGCTGTGGCTGGTGGACGGTAGATGATCAGAGCTCCGTCTTCAGCAGCGTGTATCTGGAATCAAGGCTTCGATTTGGGATTGGCTATGCTAGCTTCGGTTTAGCTTAGGACCAACTTAGGCTTAGATTCGGCGTTGGCCTGACTTAGCTTCGATTTAGGCTTCGCTTCTGCGTAGGATGTATCGCAGGTTTAACAGAAGCTTGGCTTGACGTATGCTTAGGCTAGGCTTAGCGTAGACTTGGCTTAGGCTTAGCTTAAGTTTGAGAGTTAAATTCTGGCTTATTCTTGAGCTTGACCCGCCCCTGGCTTAGCTTAGACCCTTTCTGAAGCTTAAGCTTATCTCGGAATAGGCTAGCCAGGCTTAGCCCTGACTTGGGTGTGGCTTAGCTTCGGATCCGCTTAGGCTAAGTCGGGCTTAGGTTGCAGCGTATGACGCTTCTAGCTGAGGCTCAAGATAACTTTCCCGACCTCATCTCACTGGGCTTCAGCGGCTTGAACACCGAATCGGGCAGCTTAAGTGCAACCGCGGGCGCCGGTGGCTTCTCGGGCTGCTGCTGCTGCTGCTGTTCCTCCATTTTTCGTGCTCCGATCGGCGGGAAATTGTGACGTTGGTGAAAGTCGCGGTGCAGCTTCCCGGATTTCAGGTCGTCAACAAACTGTAAAAAACGTGTTCTTTCTCCCGATGAATAATGTTTTTAGTAAAATTTAACTATTTTTAAGTGAGCAAACATCAAAAAAAAAGTAGAAAAAAATCAAATGACTTTTGGTCTGCAATCGGCCAATTTTGGCCGAAAATTTCTATATCTTTTCACCAAGTTTTAAGTTATAAATTCCTCTAATTAGATTAGGAAAAAAAGATCATGAGGAAAAGTTGATTTCCCCCCGATAATGCCACAGAACGCCGTGGCCAACAGACCTGCTTGAGTCTGCCCGGCGAATCCCAGCTGGTGCTCGGGTCGTCGAAGAGGAACACGTGCTCCATCGAGTCGATCACCAAAACCGGGAGATCCTGAAAATTGAGGAAGAAATATAATTCATTCATTTTCTCAGACCTTTTCACTTTTCCGAAGCATGTGGAGCGGATGCGAGAAAACCTTGGCGTCGGCCAGCAGCGGGTTTATCGTCCGGTCCTCACCGAGCTCGCGGGCTACCTTCAAATTTCACGGATGAATGAAAAATTCAACTAAAAAGTACTGACCACTGAAATAAAAAGCTCCGTATTTTTGGCATCGGCCCGATCGCGGAAAAGGACGATCAAAGGCAGCCTCTCCTCCGTCACCTCCTCCACGTTTTCGAAGGTCAGCTGAAAAGCAGTATAAAGCGTTTAAAATTATCAACTAAAGCCACGAGGAATTTCCAAACAATTTTTTTTGGGCTTTTTCTAGCTGGGGTCATCAGAAAGCCCTGTGACGCCGTGCTCGCCCTCTGCCCCCGAAACGCGCGACACCTGGCCCACTCCCAGGAGCCGGGGTATAAAGAGCCGGCGACGACCCGCTGGCCCTGAGCGACTGACGATTACAGATCCAACTCGGAGACAGATCCAAACCTCGTGTCGACTTCTGCTTTTTAACTCTGACGCTCATTCTTTTGTTTTTGCTTGTCTACACCTCTATTTCGTATTACTTTGCAATTTTCTTTTACTGCTTTTTTCTTTTTTTTTTGCTGAATTCACCTCTCGAACGGCCGGGATGCAGCGTTCTTTCAACCATTGCTTCGCATGGCCAAAATTGTCCAAGGTGCCGGGGTACTAGAAAAATATCAAGTTTTGACGATTTGAAACCTCCTCGCGCTCCTGATTGGCGCCCTGGAAGTAGACGAGGCTGCCCTCCCGGCCCGGCTTGGTCAGGTACGGCAAATCGGGAGCCGACGCCCAAAAGCGGCAATCATAGCCTCCGAGGGTCATCGCCAGTTTCTGAACGTTAATTTCTTTCTTTTTGTCCGGTTTATTATATTTTTTCAACTAAAATGTTTGGTTTGTTATTTTCAGGCTGAAATGAACATTTATATATATTTTACGCGAATAGATTTAATGGAAGTAAAAATAAACTATAGGGATATGCCTAAAAAGTTTTAAATGTCTTACCACCGCATTTCCAAAGCTGTACGAATCGCGGTCGTGCGAGTAGACGATCACATTGCGCTTGTTTTGGGCGAGGCCGATGTCCAGGGCTTCCTAACCATACATATTTTATCAACTTCAACCCCCACCAGGCTGTCAAACGTCTCCATCGGCGGGTCGAACTTGGCGCGCACGTGCTCGACGAGGGCTTGGCTCGTGCGGGCGCCTCTGAAAGAACGAAGCATCAACGTAATCATGAAATGACCCGCCTGTACTCCCTGTGCATGGCGCCGGCGATGAAGTAGCGCATCGTCGGGTACTTGTGCACCCGGTATTTGTTAATAATTTCCGGCTAAATCGGGTAATCGGAGAATAGAGGCGCACCTCCTTCATCCCGTCGACCGTCGCGAAGACGGCGCTCAAGTCGGGGTGCTTCTGTTTGAATTCCCGGGCCGCCTCGTCCCAGACGGGCTTCAGGCGACGCGAAAATGGGCACCAGTCAGCCCCAAATGCCACGAAAACGACCTGAAGAAGACGAGGAACGGTTTTAAGAAACATCCCAAGCTACCGTAGCCGAATTGAGGACCTGGTCGACGTTGTGGCGGGTGATGACCACGTTTTCGGGCTGTACAAAAATAATTTATCGCCGAAACAAAAATACCGCGACGGCGCCAATAATCAACCACAGCAGGGCCAACCAGTGGACAGCGCGCATTCTTCTGTAGAAAAAAATGGAACTGGACTGTTAGCGGTGAGTTAGCGGAGGGAATCAGTTTTTGTTTATCCGTTAATAACAAGTTTTGATGAGGGTCTTCATGGTTGATTGCTAAAAAGCTGCAAAAAACATTTTAAAAGTTCGAAAATTTTGCCGTTCTTTGGTCATTTTTCATCGATCCACAGCTGATCAAAAATTTTTCAGACGTTTTTCTAGGTTCTTTTATAGCTAAACCAGCCGATTACAGTCGCTTCGCGACTGTCATCGGCTGGACTTCGGGCTACCCTCCATATTCTACACCACCACATCTCATCTCTACCTTACGCTGATGCCTTCATGGCAATACCTACACTGATGGCTTCAGATACCTCCTCTAGCCACCCCCCACAAAAACATAGCTACCTTCCCGATGGCTTCAGATACCCCTCCGAGCCGAAATTCCCTTAAAAAAACTACTTCGATACCTCTGATGGCTTCAGATACCCCCCATTGCCGAAATCCCCTTAATAACTACCTAAATACCTTCCTGGTGGCTTCAGATACCCCCCATAGCCGAAATCCCCTTAAAAAACTACCAAAATACCTTCCTGATGGCTTCAGATACCCCCCTAGCCGAAATCCTTAAAAACTACCAAAATACCTTCCTGATGGCTTCAGATACCCCCATAGCCGAAATCCCCTTAAAAACTACCAAAATACCTTCCTGATGGCTTCAGATACCCCCCCTAGCCGAAATCCCCTTAAAAAACTACCAAAATACCTTCCTGATGGCTTCAGATACCCCCCATAGCCGAAATCCCCTTAAAAACTACCAAAATACCTTCCTGATGGCTTCAGATACCCCCAGCCGAAATCCCCTTAAAAAACTACCAAAATACCTTCCTGATGGCTTCAGATACCCCCATAGCCGAAATCCCTTCAAAAACCACCTAAATACCTTCCTGATGGCTTCAGATACCCCCATAGCCGAAATCCCCTTCAAAAACCACCTAAATACCTTCCTGATGGCTTCAGATACCCCCATTGCCGAAATCCCCTTCAAAAACCACCTAAATACCTTCCTGATGGCTTCAGATACCCCCCATTGCCGAAATCCCCTTCAAAAACCACCTAAATACCTTCCTGATGGCTTCAGATACCCCCCATAGCCGAAATCCCCTTCAAAAACCACCTAAATACCTTCCTGATGGCTTCAGATACCCCCATAGCCGAAATCCCCTTCAAAAACCACCTAAATACCTTCCTGATGGCTTCAGATACCCCCCCATTGCCGAAATCCCCTTCAAAAACCACCTAAATACCTTCCTGATGGCTTCAGATACCCCCCATAGCCGAAATCCCCTTCAAAAACTACCAAAATACCTTCCTGATGGCTTCAGATACCCCCCATAGCCGAAATCCCCTTCAAAAACCACCTAAATACCTTCCTGATGGCTTCAGATACCCCCCATAGCCGAAATCCCCTTCAAAAACTACCAAAATACCTTCCTGATGGCTTCAGATACCCCCCATAGCCGAAATCCCCTTCAAAAACCACCTAGATACCTTCCTGATGGCTTCAGATACCCCCCATAGCCGAAATCCCCTTCAAAAACCACCTAAATACCTTCCTGATGGCTTCAGATACCCCCCATTGCCGAAATCCCCTTCAAAAACCACCTAAATACCTTCCTGATGGCTTCAGATACCCCCATAGCCGAAATCCCCTTCAAAAACTACCAAAATACCTTCCTGATGGCTTCAGATACCCCCCATAGCCGAAATCCCCTTCAAAAACCACCTAAATACCTTCCTGATGGGTTCAGATACCTCCCCTAGGCGGAATCCCCTTAAAA